ACTGAGGAAAATTTTAACTTGGAGGCACGTCGCCGCATTTTGACTCCGGCTCTAGCAACCATAAACCAAAGTCCATTTGGTGCAAAAATGGAGCACCGGTTTTTTGTATCTGCAGTAAGATGATAAAAGATTAACCGTAACGATAACTGTGTGCCTTGGTTAAAAAAGCTGTTCCTCCTTTGAGAGAGCTGATCAGTTATGAAACACTTTAAAAAATCGCTAGTTTCACCCAAGTACTCGGCTTCATCCAATTGAATAATTCTTTCCTAATTATATCAACATGCAAATATCTATTTAGTCAAGTTTTTCATCAGAAGAAAGTTCCAGTCTGATTGAGACCAATTAATTAAAAGTGTGTATGTTTCTTTTGTTGCTTGAAATGCTTCTACCCGAAATTCTAAACAGACCTTCCTTACATAATGAGCTTTAAGACTCCGCGAAGGAAACAAATAACATCAAGTACTTTAGTTCTTTGATTGTTCGGCGATTGCAGGGTTGGCTGGAAACACTCATTTCACCAACGTGAAGCCACTTTAACCCCAAACATCGCACGCCCTGTTGGAAACCAAACATACTTTCTGAGTTCGCTTGCTTAAGCAGAAGTTTCCATATTTCGTCTGCGAACTAACTGAATACACCTTGTAACTTGTAGAAAGATAGAATTCCGTGAGCTACATTGTTGAAGTCGCTGCGCGCTGGACAAAATCTTTGAAATTTACACTTTCGATCGCTGTTCACAGGGGTGGTCTGCCCAAAAATCATTTTTGGCTTGTGGCGACGCAAAAGAAGAGAACTGGAGAACAACTAAACTATTTTTGAAACATGTGTCCTAAACCCTTTTCATGGGCAAAAAATGAAAGAAAACTTTTTTCCGACGGGAAGTCGAGAGGACCGCTCTTAGCGGGAGCGGCACTTAAGATGCTGGTGCATTCTGCTGAAATAACCGAAAACGTACGTACAGGCTTGAGCGGCTCATTCCGGGGCGGTGGATTATTCAAATTTTGATCTGTTAAGGTAAATGAAAGAACCGTGTTTTCTATGAGTTCACTCACCCGTTAAAAGAAACAAATTCGAGGCGTTGTAACCTTTGGTCACAATTACTCGGCTGACTTACGATGACTGACGATGACTTAAGTACTAAAACATGGAACGACCTAAAACCACCTAACACCACCTAAAACCACCTCAAAAACATCCACAGCCACCCGCAAACCATCTAAAACCATCTAAAAAAGGCATAAATGTCTAAAATAAGGCGAGACGACGAATAATTTAATATTCCCTCAATAGCAAAAGACTTAAAGAACTTTACAAAATGAACTAACAAGTTACAAAAAAAAATAAAGTAAAATAACAAACTCGTAGTCAAGACTTGACTTGGCTTTTTCTACCCTGGGTACCAGCAGACGTTTTGGCTCACGTCTAGAAAAAATTTTGAGAAAGAAAGATCATCAAAAATATTTTAGGGGATCTGTGCTTACCTTCGGGGTCTTCCTTTGGCACGAACGCCAACGTGCTGGCATTCATACAGCATGCAGTTGTACGATTGGTGCCACTTACGCAATAGTGACTCACGTTTTGCTCCAATTACATTTCAAGTGCTGAGATTATAAATGGAGAAAAACACTACCTTGGACCATTACGCAATCAAATGAAACGTGAGCCAAAACGTCTGCTTGTAAAGTTCTTAAGTCTTTTACTACTGAGGTAATAAAAAATATCATTGGCATGCTCTCGCATTTCATTTCGTGAGATGGTTGATTATACATGGGACCAGGGAGAGTAAGATTTCAGAGGGAGGTGTAGGTTTCGTTCGATTCTCGTATTTCATGTACGTGACTTGCTGTCATGCTGTGATGTTTTTAGGCGGTTGTAGGTGATTGTTGAAATTTTTGAGGTGGTTGTAGGTGGTTGTAGACGGTTGCAGGTGGTTGTGGGTGGTTTTATGTGGTTTTAGGTGGTTTTAGGTCGTTCCATGTTTTAGTACTTACCCGGCTGATTAACTTAATGAGGATTTCAGAGAGCTTTCTTTACAAAGCGCAATGTGAAGTCAACAAAATTTAACTTGTCTAGGTAAGCTTGTCTTCTTTATCGTTTTGTTAAAAGACCTCGTTATACTTGAAATTATACTGATTCCGGTAAAACTAGCAGAGACATGGTGGCCTAACGTTAACAGAGGGCATGCACACTTATCAAGGTCATTGTGTTGTGTTCTTTCGCGAGACATTTTACTGTGGGTAAGCACCAGGGGGTATAAATGTCCCAACAGTTCAGGTATAAAAAAAATAATAAAAATTGAATAAATATGTGTAGGCAAAGCTTCTAAGCTTTCGAGCTCTTCTCAACATTCTAGAGAATGAAGATTCTTCTACGGAGCCTGATGAGATAATGTTAAACTCAAACAGCAAAATTGAAACAAATTTAACCAGTTGTACGATATTTTTCGTACACCTAAAAACTCTAGGACTTTTTCTCCTTTAAAATGAACGTCTTTCATTTTCCTTTTTAACTCGTGGAAACGTGATAGCGTAGAAGCGAGTTGTTATGGGTACCTTGGGATATGTAAATTGCGTGACCCCTCGTAATTAGTCGTAATTAGTCGGCTCCGAACTCGAGATCTATCCTTCCGAAGAAGTCCTGGTGCCATTGTGATTGCTTCGATCGTTGCGATGTTTATTGTCTTTACACGGCTGTTTCGAAGGTTCCAGATTAGCGCTATGATCAAATTAGAGACCAAATCTGAAGGGTCTTCGAAGAGTCCATGCGCTAAACATAACGAGGAGCAGCGAGAATCACGAAGAGTTTGTGAGTGACAGAGCAAGCTGTTGACATGGAAATTCCTACGGAAACATGTACCCATGACATAAAAAAAATGTTAGTTTACTTCATCGAACGTTTCAGCTGCTACACTAATTTCGGTCTTTTCGTTATGGTCGTTTCGTTTTATTGTTTTTCTATGCAAACGTGACTATTTTGATGGTAAAAATGATATATGATCGGTTTCTGAAAGTCGTTGCCGAGCACGTGACCATAATTTGGCCGGTGTTATTTTGATCACTTGACGATCTTCCAATTAATTTCTATCGCATCCGTGTAAAAAAATACAAGCATATGCATTTACTGAGAAACAAAAGAGAAATTCAAAACTACGAGAAATTGCGAGTAATCGGCCTCTTCTGCTGCACGCGGGTCTTTTGGTGTAACATGCGTGTGTTTCCCATAGGTTACAAGCACTTTACGCACGTGGGAATGCTGCAATCACGGTATAAGCAGTGCAAGGTAGAATGGCTATTGCCAACCTGGAGTGCTTATGTGCGCCATTTTGCTTCATCACTCTTTGCCATTTCTAACACTTGAATATCATGAATATTAATTCAGAGGGGGGGGGGGGGGGTAAGGGTTAAAATTCTTGGAGGCTAACAATGTGCCGCTGGATAGGGTTGCATTTTCACGACTGCAATGACTTTTATGGCGTTGCATTTTCAGCTATTTTCAGTAGAGTTACTAGAATGGGGTTACACATTTTTGAGATTTAAGGCGTAAGAAATTATGTCAAGTAAGGATTCACCAGCAGGAAGATTCGCGGTAAAAGAGTTGTTACCGTATTTTAATATTTATTAAACGGCTCCCATTCCATTCCGGTCTTGCCCGAAAGCGGACAAAGATGAGGTCTATAACTGGCCAAAACATAGGCCAAAATACGGCAGAGGTTCTGAGAAGCCAGCTGCACATACCCAGCAAAAAAATGACCCATGTACCCCCCTCCCGGGGGGTTTCCATCTCATACTCAAGCATCTGCTAACTGCCGAGCGGGTCAAATATGTATAAGAAACTAACTATGGGTGTGAAGTGAAAAACATGTCACAAAATTAAAATCAAATTCTAAATTACATATTTTCAAATAAGAAAAATGTTTATCCTCTAAATCAGGCTTCAGTAGCCCAAGGTCCTAAAAATGACTGATGTGATGATCCACTGAAATTCCGACATAATGATGCATTGATTTTTAGCTGTAGATTGCATGAGCATCGAAACGGGAATTTTAATTTGTTTTAGTCTTTTAGGGTAATCAATGCATTTATTTCCTTGTTGTTTTGTAGGCCTCAAAGAGAAAATGCCAAGAAGCGGTTACAGCAAAATATCTAGTGATGATGATGAAGAAGTAAGTTTTACATCCGCTCTTTTCTTTCGTTGGATGAACGGCGTCCTCAAGACAGGCAGTCAAAGACCTTTAGATCAGGATGACTTTTTACCGTTACAAGAAGAGAACTCGGCCTGTTTTGTCACCCAGAAGTTTCGAGAAAGCTGGGAAAACAAGAAAGTTCACTGCAAGAAAAATGGGAAAAAACCCAAGTTGTGGAAAAGCGTGTTTCAGATGCTCTCTGTTGAAGATGTCATCATTATTTTGTTGGGAAATAGTTTGTTT